TGATAAATCTCCCTGTGTCTGAGTAATTACAGAAGGACTGCTCATCCTGTGTTGTTAAGTTTGTGTTCACCTGAAACAGAAAAATACAAGGCCTTCCAAACCTTTTTTGGGTGAATGGCTTCAGAAATAAACTGACTGCTCTACTCCACTCCTCAGTATGTATTGGAGTGGATGGAGTCCCTTCAGCAAGGGAGTCAGCAATGCAGCCTGCTTTGTAGCACTGACGCATTGGCAAAGATCCCTTCTGTGCATTCCTTGCTAAAAGTAAGATGTCATCCAGAATTTAGTGCCCTCTCTGTGCTGTACCAGTCTTAAGACAACCTGATTCGCATCTGTGGATTTTACAACTTCCAAATGCAGGTCACTATTTTCTCAGCAGAATTCACCAGATAGGAAGAATTAGAAGTGTTTGGCAAGGTCACCAGCATCATGAGGTTTTTGAAGCAAGGACTTAATCATGAACAGTTGAAGAAGACCCCAACTTCATTTCAGGAGCAGGAATGATGATTGCAGTTCCTCTGAAGAGTATGCCCAGGGCCTGTCTACAAGTTTTCATTATTGAGACAAACAGGGCAAATGGGACATCTAAATGAGATTTTCTCTAAGTATCAGAGTGAAGTCATACGCCTCACAGGAAGTCATCAGAAAAACATATTTTTTTTTTCCAGGTTTTTCAGCTGTTCTTTAAGCATCAGTCAGGGCCCAAATCGTTGGTGCAGAAGTCCTTGTCTTGTAGCTAAAGAGCATTTCAAAGTCTTTCCCCATATCTGACTGTCAGCTTGTGCAACTTTGAGAAAGTCCTTTGCAGTTTATTGAAAGAATGAATTTCTAAACAGAAAATCATCTAAATAAGGTATGGCATATGAAACTTGCTAATCTTCTTCAAACTCATTCACTTCAAACTTCAAACTCGGATCTCATGAAAAGTGTCAATGTGGATGTGATGGCTAACTGAAGAAAAATATTTGTTTCAACCATACAAAAACCAAGAAGAAATGCATGGAAATTGAAAGGTGAAAGTAGATACCAGAAATCAAAAAATCTACAAAAAATCTTCTGCAGATTGACTCGCAAAGAAATGAATTCACATTAGGTAAGAAGAGACCCATCTGGTATCTTGAATAGTTTTTAACTTCATCTTTAGTTAAAGTATAGCTTTTCTAAAACCTTCCAATCTCATCTTGAATTTCCATCATACTGCTAATTTCTTTTTTCCTGTCTGATTGCTTTCACTTTGTGCTGTATTTAAATTGGATTTTTCTTCCTCTCGTGGCCTTCAGGCATTTCAGGCCTGTGTTTCCTAGAGTAAAAAGCCCTCCACCACCAGTAATCCTTCTATACAGGAGCTTAGACTTGCTTCAAAACATTCTTATCCTTCTTTTGAAACAATGGAACATCACATTTTAATTTTTGTTGACTCTAAAGCAAATTTTCCAGATCTCAAATTGTTCTCAAAACATTCTGCAGTTTACAGGGCTCTCTCTGAAACAATTCTGCAGTCAACGGTAGAACCGTTTCCTTGTTTCTGTGGAGTAGCACTCCACTTTGCTCCCAATCTACTTGATGCTCAGCAGAATATACATAGGATTCCCAAGTCTTCCTGGAGGTGCCATTTTCCAATTGTGCAATTCCCAGTTCTGAAAAATGTAACTTAAATGTCTGACTTTACGTTTACTTGAAAACACACATCTTCGTAATCCGTCTGAGCAGTGCAAGCCCCTGGTCTCTGCCGTAACTGATGAATAAGAAGAATAGCCAGTAGTAATAGAAGAGGATTAAATAGAAACCCCATTGGATTGTTTACTTATAAGTACGTACTTTATAGTCAAATTTATCCATTTGCCAGTTTCTAATTCCCTTCACTGTGAGCAACATTAAGGAAGAAATTCTTCACTCATAGGGTGGTGAGACACTGGTACAGGCTGCTCAGAAAAGCTGTGGGTGAAGGTGTTCAAGACCAAGTTTGATGGGTCTCTGGGCAGAATTATCTAGTGCTCGGCAGCCCTGCCCGTGGCAGGGGAGTTCAAACTACATAATCTTTGAGGTCCCTTCCAACCTAGCTATTCTATGATTTAGGGATGTTTGCCTAGCTTCAAGCAAGGAAAGGAGGACACTTAGAACCTCAGTCTGTCCTATGCTGGCCAGATCAGCTGACATAGCAAGCTTGTCAGGAGGAGATTTACTTTGTTATTTATGTGCTGTCATGAAGGATTTATTAATTGAGATTGGGAAATTGCTACATGAACATTTTCTGCTCACTAGAAGAAAAGTTTTCTTCTGGACAAAAGGGAGGCAGTTACCCTACTTGGCTAGTTCAGGCTAGTGCTACAGGACAGCCTGAAGGAAGTGCATGTGTGCACTCTCTTATCCAAATTGTGAATCTGTAGGAAACTTGGGAGTCTGGGCGTGCTGGGCTCTTGGCGCAATTGAGGTGCAACACAAATAATGCACTGGTAATGACATTGGTGCTGCTGCTTTTAGCTTTTCCTATTGGATGCTTTAAGTTTGCCATCAAAGCAAAATGTTATAGAACACCATTTAAACTGCCTATTCAACTGCTGAGTGTTGAGCACATGTTAATGCAGTTTTCTCCAGATATGGTAGTTTATGATAAATGTTACCAGATTTTTTACTGTTCGTGTAGTATGCTGCTAAACACTAAGACAAATGGGCCCACTGAAAGGGTATTTCCTTTGGAGGACACAAGCTGCAGACCACCCATGGAATACACAGGAATAATTAAGCATCAATATAAAAAGCTAGAACAAAATATTAGTGTTTCAGAATCCTAATGAATAAAAGACATTTTAAAAATGAAGACCATACAGATGTTTTGAAAAATAACATGAAGGCCTCAACAGCATCCTGGGGGAAAGGACGCAAGAACCCTCCCCCCCCCCCATCATGTTGCAGTACTGTTTGAGAAGTTACAAATATTTATGTGGCGTATACTTTTGGCAAGCTGCAGAGAGATGTGTGAAAGTATGAATAACTGTGAGGCCTGGGGCTTTTTTCATACTGACCTCTTGATAGACTGAAAAAAGTGATTTTTGGAGAGTTATTCAAGAATTACATTGTTGAAAAAAAGAATTTGTATGGCCTTGCAATTGAACACATTTCTTGCAAAGATTGGAATGCCTACTGACCTGATATGGCAGAACGCTCTAAGGTCAATTTGAATAACTTTCACAGCAAACAAAGAGAACAGAACATGGCTGCAGCAAGCCTTTGGCAAAAACTGTCAGAGATTTCAGAGAGAAGATTATCATTATCTGCTATCTAAATGTAAGGGAAAAAAACTTTCCAAAGACATGAATAGCACTTGGGAACTCAAGTTCCACAAGTCTTCAAGCATTTTCTGGAGCAGCTTCTGTCTTGTCTGGTTTTATACAATGGAAATAGCGGGGTCAGCTGTCACAGTGTATTGAGATAGAATAGAAAGGTTTACTGAACTTGAAAAGTATAAATCACTGAAGGTTTGGGTATCATAATTAGCAAGCAGTGCAAGCATATTAGTTAAAATTTATTTTTTATTAATGAAAAAATGTAACCCTTCTCTATAAAATAATTTTTAATTTGAGACCTAACTCTGCAGTCAGCTCCCCGGTGCCATTTAACTTGCCATCAATTCCAGGCATTGTGTGGGAAGATGATGGTGGGCTCAGAGTAAGTGATCCTCTCCCGCAACAAGAACCACAGTTCAATAGTTTCCAAGAGAGTATATCTTAGAGATTTTACTGTGGAGACAGAAAAAAGGCAGTGAAAGAAAATATAGAACAGTCAGTCCTCTTGCTGCAAGGGCCCAAGTGCAACCATCTCTTATACCTCCCTCAGTAACTGCAGAAAAATGCAGTATTTGCAGGCTGTGATCCTGAATATATGATAGACCTTCTTTGTTTACCTGCTTGTTAACAACAAATCTTAAACATGGATTTGTGGGATGAGAGCCCTACATCTGCACAACGCACACTGACTTCAGGTTTGAAATGCTTAAAAGGAGTTCCTGCACTGCTTGATCTTTGTGCTGTTCCTTTGTGTCAGATCACATTTCCCATGCAGTACGGAGTGCAAATGTGCCACCAAAAACTCTCTGTTCACACTGTCATAAAAATAATTTTTAGGAGGGAAATGTCAGAAAAGTCAAAGATATTGAGAGAATTACGTGGAAAATGAATGAGCTTTCTTTACCCACCACTCTGTCTTTCAGTAAATAGTGCTTCTGTTTTGTCCTGAAAGCACTTGTTCTGGTAATCTGAAGGATGTGCAGCAGAAACTCCTGGTGAAATATAGTACAGTGCACCATAATGTCTTTCGTCCTTAACATGAAAAAAAAAAAAAAAAAAAAAAAAAAGACAAATGAAAATAAAAAGGCTGTTAGTTCTTTTCAGAATCCTTCCTTTCCAAAATATTTCCTTCATCTTTAGCCTCTGCTTTCCAGATGGCTTTAAGCAACTGTTACTCTACGGCACACCACAAATTATATTAAGAAAGTGTAATTCCAAACTAGTTTGATTACTCCGATTAAGCAGAGAGCCACATCAAAAAGTAGCCTTTCTATATAATAAAAATGGTGATAATAGAGTAAGTCTCATAAGTCAAAGAGCTTTATTACCTCCTACTGTAGAAAAACGTCTTTGCTGCTGCTGAAGGATGTATCCCTGGCTGGTCACAGTATCCTCATTTCCTGCTTAGATAGCAGAAGATACTCAGATAAAGAGTGAAAGGAATACGGAGCTGTGTGATTTGTACAGAGGGAAGCATTAAAAAAGGGTTTTAAAAGTAAAAGTGAAGCTATGCTTAAAAACTTGTGTTTGAACTAAGTTTCAAAACAGAAAACAAAGACTTCCCAAGTTTCTTGTGCTCACTTTGAATAGGATAGACTTGCTAATAGATTTGGGACCAAATGGGACAGAAGAAAGGACTGTTTACTGACTAAAGTATCCTAAGACGTTCACAGCACCTGGCACAGCTTAAAACTAAATAGTATTATCTTACTGTAGGTTCAGAAAACTGTCTTGAACAGAAGCTGAGAACACCTCGTCGACGATGTCAGCAGCCCAAAATGCTGAATAGCCCTGAGGACAACATGTACTATAACCAGTTAAATGTGAGTTCAAAGTGGCAATAAAGCTGTTTTACTGGCTTTGTTTCCAGTTAATAATTCTGTTATTAATACCTGTTTCAGCCCCTCCAGCCCCACCCCCACGTTCTTCTGCTCTCGTCTTGAACATGTGCTTATGCTCTTTATCTGTTGCTTTCATGTCAGGATGTCTGCCTTCACGGTGAATAATTGATGTGGTTTATCAAAGACGAGCAAGATGCATGCTTCATCAGGCTCACTTGAGCCCTTTGATCAAAAAAATTATGCTGTGACTTCTGATATTATCAGCATCTGCTTGCATTCAACACAAAATCACTTTGAATTAAAAATTAACGACTTGCTGCTTTGCTTTGACTGTGTGTTCTTGGCCCTCTCCACAGGGAACTCTAGAATATCAAGGGAGCAAGAGGAAGCCAAGAAAACTTGGGTAAATATCTATCTTCTTAGTTCTAAGCAACTGTAAACAGAAGAAGTCCTTTGTGATATTACAGAATATGCAAAACTTTCTAGAGAGGCTTCTAAAAATAAACAATTAACATATCTCTGTGCATTGACATTGGACGTTTTCTACCGAAGCAAATGTAAAACTCATATGTAGTGCTGTCTGCAGATACTAGAACTGATTCAAAACAGCTCCCCAGCTTTCTCTGAGTACTCCTGCAAAAATAACCTTTATGTTTTACAATGTGTTTGCCCCTAATGAGTGGTGTCAGATGAAAGGTATTTAACCTGAAGTTCTCTAACCTAGAATATGAGCAGCTTTGCAGCTCTTCACTCACAGTGGGTTGCAGCCTTCCTGGGGGAACAGGTTTTAAGAGGCCCCTCATCCCAAGAGAGTGTTGCTTCTTCTCAATTCAGCTGAGTCAGTTCTTGTTGTCACGTGGACAATTACCACCTGGAAATAGGCACAAATTGAACACAGTCTATGAAAGTCCAACTGGCTACTTTTGAGTGATGAAAACATTTCACTGACTGGTGACACGGATTGGTGAGGACCAGTATATACCGGATCTTGCAAAGGCATCTACTCCAAGATTACAGTAGAAGCTTATGTAATATTTTCTCACTTGTTAATTGATCTTCTGAATATAATCATATGAATAGAAGGTCTTTGGGTCAAGGTTAAAGCCCAAAATTTTTCATGACTGAGCAGAATTTGATTAACTCAATTTCTCCCCACTATTTTAAAAAGTCTGTATTCCTGTTTTGGGAACAAAAGTACCGATATGAGACTTCAGTGCTCAGCATACTTCACCAGAAAATGAAAGACCCTTGGTGTCAATAAGGCTTTGCCCAAAAATTAGTGATGTGTTCTTTGGTTCATATGCACAGTGAACTGTCAGCTGAAATGCATTACCAAAATAATACCACATATATGGTACAGACAAAAAAAACCCAACCCCCATTGCTTGAGTGAAATGCCCATTTGATGCAAACAATTTGTCTATCGTTCTGTATAGCTAAAAAAGAAAAACTGTATTGCCTTTCACTGATCCTTAGAACCATTCAGATTCCAATCATAAGCAGTAGCAGCAGAAGAAACATAAAAGGCACGTGTAAAAGCTACACATTTCTGATCAAATCACTCTAGCCTTTTTTTTCCTTTCTTGCATTAGCACCCTTCATTTTTGCATCCATAGAGAAGTTTCTGTTTCTGGAGATATTGACATAATTGATTTTTTAACTTAATAAATGTTGTTTGTTTTCTTTCAAGCCAAATCAAAGTGCTTGATGGAGAGGATGAGTATTACAAATCACTGTCAGCTGTTGAATCTATCCCTGAAGATGACAGCTGTCTCAGTTCCCCATCTCCTCCTTCTTCAAGAGGAGTGTCTTTTGCTCAAAGCTGAACTTATTCTGTTGACTAACACTGGTAAGAGTATTTTCTTGCCGGTAATCTCTTCTAATTAACTTTGTGCTTGCTTATGTAATCCATTAAAAAAAATAGACATTCAGTTAGCAACTTCCTTTCAGTAATTTAGATCTGGTTTTGCAGATACAAATTGTATTTCTGTAAGCAATTCCAGTAAAGGAAGCAGCACTACCTGTACGTGTTGATGTTAACCAGCACATTTCCTTAGCAGCAAGGTTAGTTCATGCAGATCCAGCTCCTTCCTCCCCACTCCCCCAGCTGCTGTTTCCAGCCTGTGCCATCCCGTCTGTTGTGCTGGCACAGCTGCTGTGTGGAAAATAAGATCAAGGAACTGATCTATATTAGAAGAACACTGTACTAAAAAGCATCTTTTGGGGTTACGGTGAAAATGTTCTATATTTCCTTTGTTTAATATTAAAACTCTATCATTTATAACTTTGCATGCTGTGAATGGTTTTTAATATTACAAAAATGTGCAGAGTAAATTCATGTAAAGTAATGCGTGTCTTAATGTACTTCATCAGTATTTTTTCTTATGATGTATTAGTTTGTCATAAATAGAATAAATAGAATAAATAGAAAAACTATTTCAAATATAAGAAGCAAAACAGTTTTAATGCTAATATTAGGTGACTGAATCTCACTTCAGATTGCTTCATATAGCCCTTTTGACTGAAACCATCGTTATGACTAGGTATTCTTGTTGTCTGTGCAAGTATCTCATATCTTGCTTAACCTGGGCTTAATCTCTGTGCTTGAGTGATTCCTCCACTTCCACAGCTCTTTTGTATATAACATGAAATAATGTCACCTGCAAATTTTTCTACTTGCTTTTCACTTTTTTTCCAAATTCCTAGTGAAACCATTGCTAATTCCTATGGAACAGAGACACTTTGCTGGTAACAACTTCTGTGGAAAAGCTGACTACTTTGCTTTCCTTTCAGCTTCTGACCCACAGTTTTGATTTGTGACAATTCTTTCTTTTCTGTACATCTCTTGTAAAAACTTATGGAAATAAAATTTTCTTATGCGTACTGCCTCAAAAAATCATTTTGAGCAGACTTAATTTTTGATAAATGATGCTGAGTAAATCTGACCATTTGTTACACGGATCTAATGTTGATGCTTGTTTTCATTTCCCCTCCAGTGAGTGCCATGACCTGTGCTAACAAACCTTCCTCCTTGTGGAGGTGCAGTCCATGCTCATTTGGAGTGCTACAGAATTTCTTGCAATCCAAGTTCATTGGATCCATCTTTTTGACCACAGGATGAGGAAAAATGGCATAGGAAACAAGAGGCAAATGTGGTCGGAGCATTCCTAGGCTAGAATAGGGTTTAAAGGTAGATAGTTCAGCAGAAGTTTTGTCTCATCAAATAAATCCAGTAGTGAAGTCAGAACAGGGCAGATGAGAACAAGAGGACTCTGTTGTTCCAAGGACAAGCTTTCATTCACTTTTCTCTCACAGCGTGACGATAGTTGCAAGAGGCAACAGTCCTTTAGTTCACTCCTTACTCTCTTCTGCTGTACATCCGGGTGTGTGCTTTAGAGCCTTTAAAACTTAAGGACTTATTAAATTGGTGAGTAGCTGCAGATGTAGATTAGAAGATGCACTACAACCATGAATGGCAGTTAATATGAATTCATACATAAAGGTCAGTTTTCTTTACTTTTTGTCAGAATATAACAAGAAGTATTTGTTATGATCCCTCATCAAAAATAACATCTTTTCCTACATAAGCATACATTCTCCAGGCCCATTAATCTGCAACATATCTGGATGGAAAATGACTTTTTTTTTAAAACAGTTTAATAACTAAACTATGTTCTTATATTGGCATAGGTCTTAGGGAGCTCTAGCAGTGTTGGTGCTTTGTGGTTTCATCTCTCCTTTCTGATAACAAAGTTTCACTGGGAAAATAATGTTTTATTTTAGTGCAGCACACATCATTATTATGTATAGTGAGAGTTTATCAATTGTTTCAGTTAAACAGAAGCAAGCCTTCCAGTTAGATATTACATCATGTGTCTATTAACCAAAAGCTTGTCTTACACTGAGTAATGCACTATGAGGAGCAGTTGTATTAATTTCATAAGGAAGTAAAGAGAAGTAAAAAAAAATTTATAATTCAGAAAAGCACTTAAGCTGAAACCCAAGTCCTGCTGAAACCAATGAAATTTCAGGTTATGATTAAGTGCTTTGCTGAATGGGCCAAGTTCACAGCTTCAGAATATTAAATAACAAGCACAAACAAAAGGCAAATGCTCTCTAGATGCATTCTTTAGGTTCTTCTGTTTCTTCTTCCCTATTATTGAGTTTGCATCAATCTTAGTCATCAGAAACAGACTTCAAAAGATCTTATGTCATATTTTGAGCACTCTTGAATTGCATGGAAAGGGTAAAATATAACATTTTCCTTGTCATATGAAATGCCACTATCTACATCTGATATAACTTTTCATATTGGTTTAATGTCACTAATATTTTTATTTGAAGTTACTATCTGAGAACCACTGCGGAGCTATGCGTTCTGAGTCAGAACTGTGCATAAAGCTGGTCTGTGCTTGGCTTTGTTTCATAACTTACCCCTTTCTTCATATGCTGTTTGGCTGACTCACTTCATACTCACCACGTAACACTCTTGAGGTGGGTTTTCTTCATCTTTACTTTAGTGCACATGTATCCCTTTAGATTATAAAGGGCCATCTCCTCAACATTGTGCTGCTGGTGGCGAGTTGGCGGAACAGATTTTCACAGTTAAATGTACAAAAAAAAAAAAAGAATTTTAAAAAAGATAGTTCTGAAAATATATGAGATGGGATACAAACACAGATGTATAATGTGCCCCAAGAAATAGGGAGAAGCAGTGCAGGAGACATGTCAGTCTGATGGTCACGGTCAGTGAGCATGTCAGCACAAACTGCTCAGATTTTCTCAATTGGTTTATTATTTATTATTGCATTCTGATTTATTTTCTTTCACGTATATTGTCCTGAAATATCAATGTGTTTTGCTTAATAGTTCATAACATCCTGTTCTTAATATTTTATAAAAGACTTTGAATCCTGTTATGAAAAAGAAAATTTCATAGACCGTGTCTGTAATACATTTAATACATTTCAGTGAATGGGAGAGTAAAGAGTGACGACCAACAAGAGATTTTAGTAGACCCTTCCGCATACCCTAATGGCACTAGCAGCCAGTTCTGCCTTCCAGCTCTGGCAGCATGAAAACTCTCTGTGCCAACACACATTGGGCAGGGAGCTTTTGGAGATTAGTCCCTTTCATTTGGTAATTTTAAACTTGCTTCTCACTTAAACATTTACATCAGTTCAGTAACATAAAGGGATCTTAGAATAGGAGTAAATTGCAGCCCTCTTAAATTTGCCCCCACTGTGACCTCCCTCACCCATATGCCATAAGAGTGGTGGAAAGGGCTTTTGTGTACTGAGGATCTTTTAAGTAGTCCCCATCGCACCATCTGAGGAGCTGTTACTTAGAAGCTTATAAAATATACATCTATATAATGTAAAACTAGAAACTTTGCTGAGACCAGTCAGACCAAAAGCTGATGTTCCTTTTGGTGGCAATGACCACATTTTTTAAGCAGTAGATACTTTTCCCCTAGTACTGAACAGCTACTGATTGTCTTGTGTTATTTACTGTAGTTGCATAATGCTTTTAGAAATGTATTCTCACGTAATATTTTGTTCTATATTATATAACTGTGTTTGTACTTCCAAGTAATTATCCCATCATCTTTTAATTCCACCGAGTTCCTAACTTCTGGTATGTTGTGGTTATGAGAACTGTGCATGGCACATGCAAACAAAGTGGATTTTTTTGTTTGCGGTTTAAAGAGAATGAATTTATTTAAACATGGTCCTTTCTAATGGAATAGGGCGCCTTCTAACAGTACTGTCAGCGAGTAAGAAGGAGCTACCAGTTATTTTCTTCACACTACTTTTTACACACCTCTGGTGCACTTCTCATTCCATATAAATGGCTACAGACCATAAGGATTTGTAAGAAGTCTCTTCGTGTTGCTATTTTCCGTACTTAAGTCTCTTCAACTTTTGCTGCATCTTATTTAACAGTAGTCTTAAGTGAATGATTTCTAACCTTTGTTGGTATAACCGACATCCATTACAGTGATAGAAAATGTTTTTATTTACTTACATATTCTATTCTGTTTAAAAACAGACACAGCTTTAAATGTAGACAATATTAAAAATTAAAAGTAGAGGAAATGTAGTGTCTATAGATCTAGCAGTCTTGTTCAATATTGAACTCAGTAAACTGTAGGAAATCAAGGTGTTTCATATACCTGGTAATGCGGCTGTCTCTGATGGAGCAATATATGCAATACATGCCCAGTTCCCACAGCATTAATGCTCAGTGCTCTCATTTCAGTATCTGTTGATCTACCTGGTTTCACGTGTATGAGAACAGATTATCAATTCTCACATTTTAGAGCTCAAATCCATAACTGTAAGTAGAAATTCACAAGTTTTTTTTCCAGCAAAAATGAAGAAGAAGTACACAGTTACACAAAAAGATATTTGACATTATGGACAGGGAATAAGAAGGTAATTTTGTAGTGGAAGCAAAGGACTGGAAGTCAAGTATCTGAGTGGTACAAGTTGCTATTTTATATCAGATTTGTATTTATGTAAAATCAGATTTAAGCCCCAAGCTTAAATGTTGCCCTTTTTGTTTGTTTGCTTGTGTTTAAGGTTATATTTGAATACTTAGTTCCTTTCTCTTAAAAGAATTGAACATGCACAGGGTTGTTGCTTTTGTACTGTAAAAGAGTTAGCAATGAAATAAATAACTGAAGTCAACCATATTCTTACTTCTCATTCCTAATTTTTTTTTTCTCAAAACAGAAGGAGAATTTTGGGAGACAACCAAACTCTGGCATTTTTTAATGTCTTCTGGTTAACCAGATACATAATAGTACATACGATTTAAAATAAGGCCATATGGCACAGAAGTGTCATCCTCTGTAGGAAACAACTAAGTAGTTTTAGTTCTAGTATATGCACAAGACATGGCATCTGATAATCTTACCTATCCTCCTTTTTACTCAGATAATGAGATATTAAAAATAAAGTCAATTTTATTGCTAGCATCAGAAGTATGTTTTGTTAGTGTTCCTTTTCTTTAAGACAGTTCACCCCCGGGAGGAGTTGTAGCAGAATGCTTAGTTAACAGAAAATGTTTCTGCATGACAGCAAAGCAGGATTTCAGACTGACAGAAGTGGCACGGGATGCTGTAAGAAGCCAAGACCTGGGAGCAGCCCTCTAGGCCTGAGCTAGAGGTTATAAAGTCAGTCAGAGGCTTTGTGTCTCCTTTGTGCTGGGACTGGAACTGTAGAGGGAAGAGGCCAACAATTCAAAATAATAGCACACTGTGTCTTCAAACTCAGGCTGATGCCATGATTCATCTTAATGA